ATTTAAATAAAAAAAAAAAAAAAAAGGGACATAATACTCTCAACCAATCCCACAAGGCTCTGAGAGTCACCTAGGCTGAATACAAGAATATGTATTAAATATAGCTCTGTTCCATTTTAACTCCCTCCCCTTCTCCTGCCTTCCCCAATTATAAGCAGGAGAGAGAGAGGCATAATTTTAAAAGAATATACTTTGCAGCTAGTCAAATTCAGTTTCAAGTCCTCTTGACCCTCTGTTAATTAGGCAGCCTTGGGTAAGCTACTTAACTGTGCTGAGGCTTTCTCATCTTTAAAACTGAAAACAATAGCACCCACCTCACAAGGTATTACGAGAATAAAGACAAAGTGCCATATACACTACCTGGCACATTGACAGTATTCCATAAGTAGTCACTAGTATTATTGTTATTAGCAAATTGTCACCCTAGCCTGTGATAATACATAAAAGCCACAAAAGAATCACAAAAAGTATAAAGTTATTCAAATTTGTGGTTTGACCTCAATTACTGCTAATTACCTAAAGTAATAATCATAAACTTTACTTACCAAAGTATTCTGAAAATTTCTCAGCATTCAGTGTTGCACTCATCAATATTACTTTCAGGTCAGGTCGATAGTTGAGAAGGTCTTTAACAACAGTCATTAAAACATCTGACTGCAGATTCCTTTCATGGATTTCATCAAGCACGATATGACTAACACTGGACAAATGCCTGAAGCAGAAGTGCCGTGAAGTATGTAACTCAGTAACAATCAGTGGCATCCAATTTAAGAATTAAATCTCTTGAAAAGATTTCACTAAATGTCCTGAACTGAAATATACTCACGGGTCTGACTGAAGCCACTGAAGGATGATTCCTGTCGTACAGTATAAGATAGAACCCTGTTTCCTTGGCAATCGGCTGTGAATAAAAGACATAAGTTAATCCTTGGCTTCCTTTACTAGTAAATTACTAAGTACCACAAACATTTAAAAGAAAATCTTCAATTTAAAAACTACTTATAGCTTTAATGAAAATCTTCATACTTAATTTTTTAGTTATAGGAATGTCTGCCACTATAGGGTAATGAGAAATACTACATTCAAGTTCATTATACATAAATTTTGTTGTCATGATACAATGTTACTAATTTCCTTTTAAAGGCATAACCATTTTCATTCTGAAAATGACTCATTACTTAAGTCAGTCCATTTAGGAAGTGCAAATGGAATCCTGACCTCCAGGAAAGAACTAAAGAAATACAGTGAAGTGGGATAGGGGTTAAAGATACCAAAATCCATGAAGTCGGTCAGGGGCCCGGTGGTGGTATCAAAATATAGGACACCGACTCCTTTCAGGGGGAGTGATGATCTACTAATGTATGTCCAGGAAATGTTATTTTTCTAATCATTCTATAATATAAAAGACATTAAAATGGCAATCCAAATCTGAATTTGGGTTACAAAAATGACTTTGTGGGTTGCAAGCCTCCTATACTTCAGTTACTTTAAATGTTAATTCTAATAGTAATAATCAGTATAAAAATGGGGAGCAATCTTTTCTTTTTCATCTCCAGCTTCAAATTTTCACTAAAATAGACCTGTAAACAAGAATGAACATTCTTTACCTCTGGAGACGAATTTGGTATCCAGTACTATTACCATTGCCACAAGATTCTGCCCTTTCTGCAGCCACTCTCTCTGCAACCTTTAATTAAAATAAAATACAGTTACAAAGAAAACAGAATTTCCTTTAGTACAAATATCCTGAAAATCCATGAAAATCTGAGACTGTTGAAAAATTGTCATTAGATTTTCATGAGTTAAAAAAAAAGGATTAAAATATGAGGTATCCAATACTCTGCGTATCCCTTAGGAGCTGCAGACTACTTGGTCCTTGTATTTACTTTTCATTTCCTCTTAAGCTCCCCAAGGTCAAATTCTCTCTAATCACTATTTTCAAAATGCCTTTCTACAGCCATCCTCTCATTATTTCCTCCCTTTCTTTTTGTCTTTTCTAAAAGAGTTGGAAATCATGGTCTAAACTTCTAAAACCTGTGTGGAATTTGAGGGTAAATACATGTTAATATATTTTTCATTCTTTTGTTTCTTTTGGTTAGAGATTGGTGTTTCTTAATTCCTAGTTCTTGACTGTGTTCTAAAAGTTATGGCTGTACCCGGCTGCCATGGCTCAGGGGTTGAGCATCGACCCATGGATGGATCCGGAGATCATGGTTTGATTCCCAGTCAGGGCACATGCCCAGGTTGCGGGCTCCATCCCTAGTAGGGGGCGTGCAGGAGGCAGCCGATCAATGACTCTCTCTCATCACTGATGTTTCTATCTCTCCCTCTCCCTTCCTCTCTCAGAAATCAATTAAAAAATAAAATAAAAATGTTTAAAGTTATGGCTACTAAAGGTAAGCTCTGGATAGATGAAATGTTGTAATCAATACAGATTTGTAACTGAAAATAACAAGTCATTTTGTGCTAGAACAGTCATGAATGAGGTTAGAAACAGAAAATGACACAATTATTGTTTAATACTTCAGAAGTAAAATTTCCCAATCAGTATATACTGTACACACCATTATTCCACTTTTTACTACTTATACTGTCCATTCAAAACCAACAGACCTTAGAAAAATAAGCACAAAAAAACCCCAGAAAAAAACAAACCTACTATTATCAAGACTACCCTAAAGGAAATGCAGTGGCGGATAACAGCGAGGAACTTACTGAAATGGCACTAATTCTTCTCGGCTGAGTACAAACTATTCTGCACGCAGAGCCTTTTCCTCTTTCGATGTAATTATCCAAAATGAACTGCGTAACTTGAGTGGTTTTTCCACAACCAGTTTCACCACTTATTACTGTCACCTGATGGTTATCGATCATATTTACTAATTCCTATTTCAAAAGGAAAAATAAATGGAGGACATGTTAAGTCTGAAAAGACAGTTATCGAAATTCTACCAAACTGAAGGTAATTGCTTCTAACAAACATTGATGCTCTTTAAATTCTGTTACATGCAATGCTGGCAGTTTGGGTGTCTGGATCTACCAGTTTTCAAGAGCTAAGAAGCACTAAATTATCAGAAGAACAGAGCCAAGGCACTATTAAAGAAAAACACACTGGTAAGAACAAAAAAGTAACAGCTCATAAGTTCCATGCATAAGAATTAAAATTAATTGAAAAGAACATTGACATGTGGGGCTACTGCATACAAGGCAAATATCCTCTGAGACCTAAACAACTACTGAAGACATTAAGGATTTATATCATAATTCATAAGTATAGGCTTTGTCTGCAAGACGAGTTTTGTATACTGCTTTAAAGAATAAGGAAGAATATAATTAAAAATTATTTCCTTTCAAATAATTAAAATAAAGTTTTTAAATACCTAAGTTACCAAAATAAATTTCTGTGAAAATTCTGGATTTTAAATTCTAAAACTTTCAATTATGGACATGAATATGAGCAAACTTCAGGAAAATTGTTTCATGATCACTTTCTCTTTTTTGTTTTTCAACAATTCAAAAGAATAATAGGATAATCCAAGAATATCCTTTAGAGAAAGGTTAATTTATTTTATACTTCTTCTTAACATAGTGCTTTGAAAAAATTGTATTCAAGCATTTTACAAATCAAATTAAATAGTGCATAATCATTTTACCTTTTGCATTCCAAATGAAGGCAGCTTTTCCCTGAAATGCTAAAATTAAAAAAAAAAAAAGTTACAAAGTTTCACCAAAAACAGTAACGGAGTTATAATCATGGTAATCAGAATATATTGATAAATATGCTAGAATACAAAAGTATTTTATTATCTCACAGCTTATGTGAAGTAACAAGACTTAAAAAAGAATTATATAAAAAAAAGACCTAATTAATTCAGCAATCCAGTTTGTTTTGAAACATAGAAAAATAGAACTCTATCACATCCATCAGAATGGAGATGCTTTCTTAGAATTAGTGACCGTAAAATGAAATCTGATCTATCATCTAATAGCATTCTTACTATCCCTAAGCCACTTCTACCATGTTTTCTATATTCATCTTAGATTTGATTTCTACACCGCAATCTTTTCCTACCCATAGATCCACACCAGTGGAAAATTAATGTTTATTAAATAAATCATAACTTTCTCTAAACTACATCAATCACTCAGCTTTAATAACATTTGCGTTCTGTCTTCCATACAAAGTAAACAGAGACAGTAGCTAACTCTCCTGTTCCTAAGGCAATAAAAGAAGCTCTGCTCTCAACCACGTTCTGAACTAATTCATCCTGAAATCTCCTTTGTCCTTATATCAAAAAGCTACACCATTTGGCCCCAGGACAATATCAGCTCATCTGTTCTAATCAGGATATCCAATCTTAATCATAAACAGTCAATGCATCCTTTCTTTCCCACAGGAGATGTAGTATTCTGCCTTTCTCTAAAACAGTAGTATTTGCATATTAAAGACATGGCCCTCAGAATTTTCACCTTAAAAACACACACATTTTATTACATCTATCTCTAGAACATCCACAAAGCATGCAATTCTTTGTTTTAATAGGAAGGGACCTTAAGATATCTTGCCTATCAGGAAAATACTGCAAAAAATTGAGGACAATTTCAGTTCCTGTCTCAGTTCTGTCTTTAAAATGTTGAACATAAGTACATCATATAACTTTTGAAGAATTTAACATTATCATCTGTAAAAGGCAGGCACTGGATTAAATGGTCAAGAAACTTTATACTTCTAATCACCTTGTCTTTTATGACATCTCCCTAAAATGGCCTAGAAAAGTTAAACTTAAGAGTGATTTCTTTTTTCATTTGCATTATAATTTTCAAATATTTCTTCTTCTCACCACATAAGCTGCTATAGATGAGACAGGCTACTGCAGGTTGTGTTAATTCCATTCCTGTAGCTTTCCTCTACACTATGGGGGCGGGGCGGAATTCCCAGAGGAAGGCCTACTGAGGAATCTCACTGATCTATATACCATGCAACTACCTCTAACCATAAATATATTCTCATCAAGTTTGAGAAGACAAGTAAAATTTTTTCCCACATCTTGCTTCCCATTACCTGCATTTCAATATACCGAAGGTCAGTTTTTTTCTTTTGCAAATCTTCCAGTAACTGTTGGTCTAAAGTTACATCTGGCTCATTTTCTTGCAAGAGATACTCAGACTCTCGGTCAATATATTTGTCCCTGATTCTAAATGTCCTTTTTTCTTGATTTATCAATTTTTTTTCCTGGTCCTCAGATTTCTTCTCTGAGTTTGGTTTGTTCTCAGCAGGAGCTTCAGTCCCATATCTATTTTGACGAAATAAAAAAAAATGACAAAGGGTTAAATAACCACTCAAGCCCTGAGACAAGACAATATGCTGTTTAATTATTCCAAAATCACAAAAATAGAAGCTTTTATTGCTTTCTCTTAGTAGAGCAATTATGAAAACACTTAGAGTCTTAAAATAAAAATTTTTCCTCCCTAAAAATAGATAATGCCAGGTAAGTTATTCCTTTTGATAATTAAATTTAAAAATATGCACAGCCCGGCCAGGCGTGGCTCTGCAGTTGAGCATCGACCTAGGGTCCAGGCGATTGGGGTTCGATTCCCAGTCGGGGCACATGCCCAGGTTGCGGGCTTGATCCCCAATGACTCTCTCATCATTGATGTTTCTATCGCTCTCTCCTTTCCCCTCCTTGAAATCAATAAAGATATATTAAAAAAAAAAAAAAAATGCACATAGGTCATTGCTCTGTTGCAATGGCTTACTGTTTTTCTTTTTATGAGCCTTGTTTTATTTTACAACTTCATTTCTTCCTGCCACCTCTTCTGAGCTATAAATGAGATGCTACATTATAGTCCCAGAAAAACTTACTAATTTTCTCTCTAAATGATGCAGTTCCTGTGATTTCCTTAAAATAGTAGCCATTTAACTTTTTGCAAATCTCCCCCACAGGAAAATCTTGGAAATACAAAAATGATGGGTAGGGAGACCAATAAATAATCATTTGATAAATCTCATGTGCAGTTAGACTATTAATACCACTTACCTTTCCTGTAGGAATAAATATGCCATCTGTTTTTATTTTTTTACCTTTCATCAAATCTGCTCCATCTACATAAAAAAAAATTACTTCGAGGCTAAATTTCACTTATTAAAGAGTCTAAAGATGTAATTTCTATTATCATTATTTCCTAGCCAATGCTATGAAAGAAGTGTCACTCTTTGCTCATTTTTTAAAAGAATATTTATTTTACCCGTGATCTTCAGGAGCGAACCAGGATATCTGTGCTTCTGAATCTTTATCATTCTTAGCTTGGACAGAATGTAGCAGCTGCACAATTTGTTCTTCGCGATGTTCATCCATGTGCACTACAGCTCTCTATTATATGCAAAGAAAAAGTATCCTTATCAACATGAGAAAGCATATACAAAATTATTTAATAAAAAAATAAAGGCAAATATATGTTCAGCAAACATATGTAAGAGAAAGTTAACGTTACCCTACACTGGCCTTCTTGCTCAATTCCAATTCCTAGACCTAACGTTAACATTTTTGTATATATCCTTCAAGAGCTCTTCCCACTGTATATGTACAAAATTAGCTCTATATAACTGGGG